CGTGCAAGTGGAAGAAAGATCCTATGAATTGTAGGCGGCTTTGGATTGGAAGGGACCTTTAAAGATCATTCTGTCAAACACTCCTCCCATGGGGCTTGTGGCCAAAACCCTTAAGTGCTTGTCAAGATGACCACTGAGGTTTCTGCAGTTCAGTGTAAAGCAGAAGATGGTAGAGAGCTGATGGTTTAAATTTTGACAATTGGGGAACCACTGCATCGCATACCTATGGCACAAAGTGGCTTGTTACTTACAAATGGCAGAATTGTAAGCAACAAGCTCCTGGCAGACAAGGTGTTTCACTGTTTTGAAACAGCTGAGAGACTGACTAGATTGTTTAAAAAGAATAAAGAATGTGTGCTAAAGATGAAACTCCTGGCTTTCTTAGAAATCTAAAAGTTACAGTTACTTCTTCTAAAACATTGTTATAAAACTGTTTTTTAAAGGTTACAAATCTCCACTGGAAAAAAATCCTGGAGATGATAAAACAGATGAAGAGATGGAGGGGACACATTCAGAGGATGAAATGTTTGCTCAGAGAGGCCTTCGAAGAACTCAGAGCATGAAATCTGTGAAAAGTATTAAAGGCCGTAAAGAGGCAAGTATAATCTTGGTTAAGTATTGAGTCTGGTTTTAGCAATGTACCTTGACAATTTTTTTTTCTAAATCTTAGAGGGTTTATCAGGGTTTAACTGGGTTGTAGAATGCTAAATGAAGAAGGAAGTATGTGGTAACAATATCAGAGCTTGGAGCTTTTGTACTTTGGGGTGTTTACAGGAAAAACATGAACAAGAAGAGCTAAGTGAGGAAAAAGGGTAAGTAGATGAAATGGACTCTGTGCTTGTAATGCTGATTTTGGCATCACCAAGCCCAGACTCCAGGAACTGCTTACCTTGAATGGGATGTAGATAGTGATATTGTCATCTGCATTTGCGTGTCTTGATTGTGCACACTTTAAACAACTGGTGCTCAATTGGATTATTGGAGACTCAGAATTTTTTATTTCCCATAGATGTATAGTCTTCTTTGACTTTAAGCCACAAAGAGAAGATTCTATGTAGTAGGTTCTATGTAGATTCAAAGTGCTTTATATTCACATGTGTCACATGATTTAAGGATATTTCAAGATAAATCTCTATGGAATCTTACAAAAACTTTTGGGGTAATTATAGGAAAACAGTAGAGACTTACGTATTTTGCCCAGTTCTGTTGAAACTTTATCATGTTCAGTCATAGGCAGATTCTTTTACTGAAACTGTGGAGTGTCCAAAGCACATTTAAAGATGCTTACTAGATTGGATTAGCAGAAAGGTAAATAATATTTCTGCCTGAAGTGATCTCAACTCTTTGTTTCAATTTCTGTTTTCCCTCAGATACGGTATGGATCACTGAAATACAGAGTAAAGAAGAGACCCGCTGTATACTTCTAAGTGTATTGCACAGTGCCTGCAAGACAAACTGCTGTATTATAATAACTTGAATTCAGTGTGTCAAGTGATAAAGATCTGTGTATGATTCATATAATGACTATATGAATAGATATGGTAGGACTTGGTTTTATGAACCTAAAGGGTCAGATAAAGTGTTACTTTGCTTTTCTGTAACTGCTTGTTGCTTAGACTTAAATCTGGACAAGTTGTAATATGGATTTCAGCACTTCTTAAATGCGAGTTAAATGAGTAACAGGAAACAGTCTTTTTCCAGAGGTACTGAACAGACAAAAATAATTACAACTCCAAATGAATTAGTAGAAGTTGTAAGTATTTGGAACTTGTGAAAATTGAACCCAAAGTGTCCCCAAGTTGACGTGGAAAGATAGGCATACTTGAAATATTTTTCTGAACTACAATTCCTGAAAAGGCTTTTGTGTAATTTAAAAATGTTCAGTTTAAAGGATGGTTGATGATGGTAAGGAAGGGAGAGGAAAGACTAGGTAGATATGGTACATCTGTAAGATTGTCATCTTTTTGCATTGTATTGCCAAGCTTAACAAACTTACATAACACTAATAGGTGCAAACTGAGGGTACATTTAGCACTTTATGCAAAACTGTATAGTTTTGCACACTTACTGATTTACAGCTGCACATGTCATTTTAATGACTTCTTAGGTAGGTCAGACTTATTTTTTGAATGCCAGCAATTCTTGTATTTCATGATCTTATTTTAATTTATCCTGATTGCTTATGTACACTTAGGATGCTGTAGATAATTGCTACTAACAACAATATTATCAGGTGCCTTTCTGTATATTACAAGGCTGTGTGGTTTTTTGTCTGTGTGGGTGGGTTTTGTTTTGTTTTGTTTGTGTCTTTCTTTCTCCTTTACCTAGAGATATGTTACATGATTTAGGTCAGTTTTTGGTTAAAATTGTGGTAAGTAAAACTAGCAGCAGTTCCAATGATAGACCTCAGGGATCTGATCAGCCCATCAGCTGTGTATTAGAAGTCATGCTGACATGAAGTCATATGATAGATATTCAGGCCCTGGTTTGGTTTTACATAGCATTGCTTTAAGAATGAATATATGTATATATTAGAACATGTATGTGTGTATATTTCATATATATGTGGAGTCTAATATTGGCTGTGTAGTACTTTTATTACTAAAGTTAGTACGAAAATATTTACATACAAATAGCCCTTTCTAAAAGACTAGCTAATTTAAAAAGACAGCCATTCTATAACCTAGAGTCCCACAGCATAACTGTTTGCACAGAGATTAATTTTGGAATGTCATTCAAGGCAGACACTTGTCAAAATGACTTTTTGAGGTCCCCTTTGGTTCTATTTTCTGCAGTTCTGAAAATTAGGCTGACTTAGTTTTCTGTTTGACTACATTTCTACTGTGGATTCAGGAGAAAACACTTTTCATAGATAGCATAGGGAGAAATGGTGTTGTTCTTGAAGAGAAAATGATGTGTGACCCTTCTTATCCTTGGATCTTGGACTACAGTGCTTAAGCCTTTCCCCAGGTATGACAGTCATCTGCAAGTCTACTGCAGTGTTTTTCAACATATGCCTAAGGCTTGGGTCTGCCACTGTTTTTGTTTATATTACAGCTATAGCGGGGTCACTGTTGGTACACACTTAATGGCCTGTTAATATATACTGGCTTTTGAAGTAGTCTTCTGAGAACTTTGGGCCAGGGTTTGAGTTATATGGCTAAAAATGCAGCTGCTCTGTATTGGCATTGTGTAACTCACTTGCTGTTGTAGGCATCTGTAAGCCTAGTGCAAAACCTTGGTCAAAGATAAAAATAGTGATGGTGCAGTGCTTTCAGCATCTACAAAGAAGCTAAATGCTTTATCAAGAAGTTGTAATGGTCCATGTCTGATTAAAGGCCAAAGCTTGTATTACTTGACTCGAAGAAGCAGTTTCATACCAGAAGACAGGAAGGCTGCTCTCTGCAAAATGAATATAGAGCAAAAATCCTATCCTCTAGCCAAAACTGCAATTTGTGCAAAACTGCAAGCTTTTATAAAGAGCTGTTGTCTGTGGGGAAGGCAGTGATGAGATGAAGTGGTTTATCACTTGTGTCCCAGGAATGTTTGTGCTTCTCATGTGTTTCCCTGAATGTAGGAAAGGGCTGTCTGTATGTTAAGGTATGTAAGACCTTAGAGGAAACGGAGGCTTTTGTATTGCATCTCATCCCACTCTGAAAATTAGACTGACCTGGTCCTTGTGTGGTATCCCTTAACCCTTACTATCCAGTTGAGTGTCTTCCTTGGGCACGCGTTGCCACATCTTGCTTTAACTCATCTTGTTTTGTTGGCAAGCATGGCAGTGAAACTGTCATCTTTCTACAAATGAGACTCCTGCATGAATGAGCAGGGTAAGCCCTTCTTTCAAGATTACAGTTCCTTTTACAGGTTTGTGTAGATCCTGTTTCAGGGCTCGTGTTCTTCTCACGTTTCCAGGACTAGAGATCATTTGAGTATTTTAGGCTCTACCACACTTATGGTCAGAACGTTGCTCTGTGTTTCACTATGTACTTGAGGCTATAACTTCTGGCATACTTAACTTGCTAATTAATTAAATAGTGACAAAGGCTAAATAAACTTTTTTTTTTTTTGTAACTATGCATGGAACTAGGAAAGCTGGCAGTACTACTCATATCATTACTGTTTGCATATAAATGTACATGTGTTCTCTCAGATACTATCTTAAGTGATAAAGTGTCCAGTGTTTTCCTGGTGGTTTTTTTTTCAGTCTAATACCCTACTGTAAAATTCTCTTGATGGCTTGATTTTGTTCTTTGAATTCATCCTGAAACTGATTCACTATATTATCTTAAGGTCTGGCTTTATTTGTGTTTTCCCTTGTTGTTCATTGTCAGCTGATGCTTGGCAGGGCACGATGGCATGATTAGCTTTCATCCTAATGATCCTGTATTTCTCTCTGCTTGTTGAATTTAGTTTATTTTGGTTTTGAAATATTACACAATCTTTTGAACTTTGCATGTAAGGAATTTTCAAACTTTTTTGCCTTAGCTGCTAAAGTCTAGCTTTTGCCAGTAAACTTCTTGGAAAAATGTTAAACAAAGAATCAAAAATTAACTTAACATTCTTTTTGGTTTTCAAGCGTAAAATGTAGTTCATGTCAAATTATGTAATCTTATGAACAGAGCATTTCCTGAGAAGTAACTGACTGCCACTAACAGGACTGTTAATATAGTGAAAGAAGAACCTAGAGGTCAAAGGTGCTTTAAAAGAGACTGCGTATTGCTAGTTAAACCATATGAAAGTTTCGAGCCTTTCCAAAATACATCTGAACTAGCTCAGATTTCTTAGCAAGAGCCTACTGTACATGGCAAAATACACATCTTGCGATGATGATTAAATCAATGGCCTCAGTTGCAAGTAAGCTTTGGTCAGACTCTGATTACAAGATAATTGCCAATATTAGCTACTTGATGCTAATTGCTTTGTTATCTGAAAATAACTGAATATTATCCAAGATACTTTTTTGCAAACTAATTTTAAAATGGACAGAATATAATCTGGTTAAACAGACCGGTGGAGTAAATGCTAGATGCATTTAACACGCTGTTCATGACAAAAGATGTGCTTTATTTTTGGTGTGGCTTTTATTAATGGGAAGTTGGTCTTTTAAGTATTTTTCTATGAAAATATGTATGTGCAAAGGTGATACTTTAACATTTTTCAAGAACTCATATTTTTAAATGCTACAGACCAGAGACTGTCTACATTAAAGTTAGTAGCTTTACGAAAATGCATTGTAAGCTTTAATTTTTATATTGTAATAATAACTTGCTGTCAACTTGTTTACATATTTGTAGGAGGGAAAGCTTCATTATGCATTGACTTATCTTGATACTATCTTTAATAAATGCTGCTTTGAGCAGGATGCAGTGGATATTTTATTACCTGAAATACAATTAACAAAGCAATCACTGTAATCTGTATTCTGTTACTTATTACAATTATTCCAGTACTGAAAGAACCACTCTGAACTTTGAAGAGACTTTGAAATTGTTTGAAGTACAAGTAAGCTGTCATTGAGGTTTTGCTGTGGAGCCTGATGCTGATTTAGACTTAAATGAAAGTTTATGTGCTAAAGGCAACTTGAAAATGCTGTAGCCTTGCTTGTTTTGATTAGATATTCAATTCAGAGTAAAGTTAAAATAAGGTGCTTAGTCTCCCAAGAGTGCATAGCTTCCTGGGGACCTGCTGGATTTTCTTGGTTTTGGTGTGTTTTTTTTTTTAATCAAACTATTTCTGATGCTAGCCTCTTTTATTGATGTAGCTTTACTATTGTTTGTGCCAACAAGCAGATTTTGTTTTGTATTTCCTTGTCAGAAAGAGTTCTTCTGGTATCCCAGAGGAGGAGATGTGTAGATGAACTTGGGCCTTTCCTTTTTCAAACCTCCCTTCAAGTAAGCTGTTAACACCTCTAGCAAAACCCAAGCAAAAAAACACTGTTACCACATTTTCTGGACTTTTTTTTCCCCAAGGCTTTCTTCATATGGTTAATTGAGGAGGAAGACTTGAAAACTACAATTTACTGCAATTTACTGCTACTGTCTCCTAAGCATTATGGGAATACATTCCAGGAGCAAATACTGTAAGGGACCTTGCAGTAGTTCAGTTTCTAATGTCAGAACAATTCATACAGTACAAAGCCCTTGCCTCTGAAGAAACTGTGGAAGTCAGGGAACATTGCTGTTTTGGTTTTTTTTGTGTTTTTTTTTTCCCTTTATTTGTTCAAATAATGTTCTGCAGGTAGCAGGAACAGTCGTGAGTGTGGGATAAAAACTGTATTCCTGCTGTTTAACATGATGCTGATGAGACCTGCTCAGGAAATGATTATCTGGTGGTTCTAAAATAGTGCTGCTACATATGTCATTTTTTTTTTTTTGAGACCTCAAGTTTCTGTATTTTCCACACCAGTGTGGAAAAACAGACCACTGAACATGAGCGGGAGCCTAACAGGTTTCTAAAATCAGTACACTTCAAAAATTATTTTCATACTTCCTGTAGATCTGCCCAGGAACAGAACGGAGACTGTCTTGTTTATGGTTGCCAAGGTTCAGCAGCAGATTGTTCTGTTTGAATTAGGGTAGGAATCATGAAAGCAGCTGAAGCAGAGGCTATAAGGACTTCAATAAAGCCTAGGATTTCACTGCTGCCTGCTAATGTACAGTGACTACATGGATGAGGAAGCTCAGAAATGATTTAGAAAGTCTTTTATCCACACTGTCACAGTTCCAAGGTAAGCAGCACTTTGACCCTCACCGAGCTCTTCCTGAGCAACATCTGTATGTTGCATGGCACTCACTGCTTCCTCAGTGAGGTGTGCCATCCCATCCAGTCTTTCTAGTAATTTTAGTTGTCCTTGGTAAGAATACTAAGGGGAGGGCATCCTAACTTACTGCCTTGAAGGAAAGAATTTCTTGATATGGTTAACTGGGGAGAAGGACTTACAACCCAACCCAAACCAAAAGCCCTGCATAAAGCTAGTGTAATAGTGAAGTTGCATCTTAAAATGTAATGCTAGAAAAAACGCATAACCACATGTATTGCAGTCTTGAGGGAATTACACCAAAAGCTCTCCGTGCTTTTGTCAAACCCCTTTCCCCCAGGTCTAATTAATAATAGTTAATCTCTATTCTTAATACTAGAATTGCCAACTTCACTGGAGTTTCTCCTGTTGTCCATAGGAGGTGGAGCGTTGAGGTGGTGTTCTGCAAACTGAATGGGAGCCACAGGGTAAGCAGAGTATTTATGGCAGTTTTAATTTGTTTTATTGAATCAGCAAGCAGCACTGTCTCGATCTGTAGGTGCCCAATTACCAGACCTGGCCACAGACAGCAGCCTGGGGAGAAGGCCACAGGGCAAAATTGACCTTTGTTAGCAAACTGTAATTATCTAGGCTAATTAATCCTGATGAAAAATCCTGCTTCTCTTAAAGTTGAGGTCATGAAAGGGGGAGAATTGCTCCGATTTTAAAACACCCCTGGAGCAGCTGCTGAGCTGTTCTGCCCTTCCCAGGGGAGTCTCTTGGAGCTCCACTTCGAGTGCCTTTTTTGCTGGAGAAGAGGCCTGGCCATATCCGTTTGCATCCTACCTTGAGCAACCCGGTATTTTGGTAGCCTTTCCTTCCTGGAGTAGCGGTGAAGACTGTTCCCCACCTGCTGACGCTCTGCACTCTGCTCAGCGCGTACAGGCAGTGATCCTTCCGGATCGCTTTTTAACTAATCGAATACTTCACCCCGTGAAGCGGCTGCCTTGATACTTGTGCCTAGGGCGCGACTGCTCTGGAAGTGTCTTGCCCTCAGCTAGGGACGTTGCCGCTCAGCCGGCGGGCGCTTTGGGGCGCAGACCCCGCAGGTGAGGTGAGGACGGGCGGGGCGGGGCGGGGGCGCCAACTCAGCGCGGCGACGGGCGGGCCATGGCGGTGGGGCTGGAGGAGGCCTTCGGGGCGGCGGGCGAGTTCGGCGGCGGGCAGCGGCGCCTCACCGCCTTCCTGGTGCTGCTGCAGGTGAGGCGGCAGCGGCGGGGGGCGCCGAAGGCCGGAGCCGGCCGAGGCGGGGCGAGCCCGCCGCGCCCCGTGCGAGCCGAGCCGCTCCTAGCGGCGTTCCCGCTCTTCGTGTTTGCTGGGGTTTGTTGAGTTTGTTCGGGGTTGGTTTGGTTTCTTTTTCGCTCCCCGAGCAGCAGCAGCAGCATCCTGCGGAGGGTGGGCAGCGCGGCCGTGGGACGGGCGGAGGAAGAGCGGGGCCGCCGTGTGTGTCATGGCGCGGGATGCTGCGGGGCGCCTCTCCTGCGTTCGCCAGGATGCCCATGCCCGTTCGGAACCAGCTTCCTGACCCGCCAGGCGGCGGGATGGGGTGCGGGGCGCTGGCCGCGCCGCCGGAGCTGTGCAGCGGGCTCGCGTGGCCTGGGAAGAGTGGCGAAGTGGCCCTCCTGGCATTTCTGCGGCGAACAGCCTGGTGTACCCCCCTCAGGCTCGGGGGCGTTTCAGAAAGGATTTGGTGGGGTTTATTCCTTTTGCGAGTTGCTTTTCAACCCCCTTTCTCGCCCGAGTGCTTTTTTACATCTCAGCTTGGCAGAGTTTGTGATGCTTTCCTTGTTTCTATGCCCATCATTTTCGCTTCTTCACTTCAAGAGAGCCTTTTAAGTGCGAAGTGGAAGGAAATAAAGTCTGACCGCAGCAACTGTGGGTTTGGTTTTTTTTTTCCCTTTTGCATCTCTTGTGACACGTGGTGTTCAGGGCCTGCCTTTAAACACCCTGTGTGCAAACACTTTCACTTGCTTAGGTTCTTCCTAATAGCTTCCTCCTGCATTTTGAATCAGACTGCTGTTGTGAGGGAGGGAGATGGTGCTGTGTGCAGGTTTTTGTTGTAAGTTGTTTCTGGAGGAGTGTCCAAAGTAAGCACAGGATAAAGTGCCAAATTAAACCAAGGTCCAACCGAATGCACCACGCAAAGACTTGTGGCCTAATGTAGGGAGCCATTCAAGATTCAAAACTTTTCTATCAATGGTAACATGCTGAAAGTAACCAATATGTGGATATGCCTGAGGTTAGTTGTATTTTACCTTAAGCAAAAAAAAAAAAAAGAGATGTAAAGTGAAAAATAAAACCAGATGTGAAATGTGGAAGACATTCAGACCACCTTGACACCCATATTAATGGATGAATATTCTCATAATATTTTCTTCATGAAAATGGTTTTCGTTCCTGCATGTTCTGTTTTTTATAATGACCAGGTTAAATTTTCAGTCTCTGCAATGGACAGAACAAATGAAGACTTTTAGAAATATAACCTTAGATTTCTTTTATAGGTTTGTTTTTTGGTTTTATTGTATTTTTTCTTTAATAATAATCTTGATCTAAATGTTAGATCTCAAGATCTCAGCTATGAAACTATGATGAAGTTCTTAATACTTTCCTTTCCTGTACCTGGCTGCAAAACTATAAAAACAAATGGAACAGCTCTGCCATAGGAAGGAGGGCATCAAGATGAAGTCTTCACTGAAAGTGTACCAGTATCTCTGGAGTGGTACCCGCTGCTCACAGCAGCCTCAATGACCACATCTGGGAATTTAAACACAGTAGACTGACTGCATTTTCTTTGTGGTGCTGGGTAAAGGGAAATTGTTAATTTTCAGTTTAATGAAAAGCATACAGTATTCTATAAGGTCTCTTGGGATTGTTTGGGGTAAATGATTGTGCCTTATTTTAAGGTATATGTGGCTTGTCAGTCGATGCTTATTGTGCTTGTGGGAGCTGTGCCTGAGTATCATATAGACCAAGAAGGAATTCCAGTGAACAGAGCTGAACTTGCCAAGCGTATCCATTTTGTGGACAACTTCACCTCTATAGTAACTGAGGCAAGTAATTCCATGCATCTAACCATTTCTTCTTGGGATTTGTGTCAAGGGTGCAGGACGTGCTGCCTGTAGAAGCTGAGCAGGGCTTAGTGTAATGTTTTGTTTACACCGTTAAGAGTTATTGGAACCCACCCCTCTGGCTCTTTTATTTCATCATTACTTATATACTTTGAGATTTAAAAATAAAGTATTATCTTTCCTAGCATAAATCTAATACGTAATAATTTATATTAAACTTTCTGTATATTATTTATTTTGTTTTCAGTTTTCTTTCATTACTAATGAACAAAGACATCACTAAAGAAGAATGATTATTTGACTACAGTTTACAACTCTGGAATTTAGGATGAGTTCCTCCCAGTGCCTGTTTTCTACCAGGCAAAGGTTCAATTTGGTATGTTTCCACAATCTGCTGTGGATGTAACTTTACCAGGTTGTGTTAATTTCCCACAGAAGATATATCTTAAAGATTAAAACTTGTATGAAAGTGAAACTCATGTACCACAGGTCTGTGTATTTTGATGTGTGGTGAAAGCAGGAGATGGAACAGATTGAAGTTTGCTGAGTGGGACAGAAGCTTGACCCTTTATCCTCACGCCTTATGAATTCCACGAGGGAGGCTGCATTTGTGTTTTGCTAGTCCCTGGGCTATAATCACTCAGGCAAGAAGGAGTGACCTAAGCATCACAGCCAGTGCCAGAAAAAAAGACTGCGTGGGTGGCTTGGCTTGTAGCATGAACGGTCAAGAGTTCTGCTGCTTGAATTCTTGGAGTGGTTGTCAGTAAACTTGGATAAGACAGGTTAGCACTTGCTGTAGCTGGTGCCAGATTCTTGCTTCCTTCCCATTATCCCAAATGTAAGTGTATAATGTTTTTCTTGGAAAAATGTAGTGACCTGACATAAGGAGTGATGCAATATTGGATCATATCCCCTGTTAGAAACAGCCTGTTTTCCAAGAACACCCCTCAGTTCCAGACTCTCAGCAAGATGTGTGATACAAGGTAGTGCTTAATATATAATCAGAAATCAGCAAAATTTAACTAATACTATGTTTTTAAAGTCAGTGTCCCCATTTCCAAAATGCAGTCATTCTCAAGAGTTGTCAAAACAAGTTTATTTTGCCCTTAATTTCCATAACTTAAGGTTTTAAAAATATATTGCTAAATAGTCTTTTCATGGAGTCTTTAGATGCTGGCCAACGTTTTGCTGTGTGCTAGCGGTCTAGTAACTAAATCAAATTCCATGTGGATTTAAAGAGCTGAGAGGATGCCTATTTTGGTGATAGCAAAATTGGCAACATTTTTGTTGGCAGGCTACAATTAATTTTGACAAATACTTAACAAGTTCCTTTTGTGCAAATAAAATAGACACATGCTTTTACAAGTTATTCTTCACAGATTATTATACCAGACTTGCTGAAATCTGAGCATCTTCCAGCAACATGCTAAGTAGCACAAACAATGGTTTGCAAAAGCAATCTTTTCTCTTGTTCTGTGTTGAGAGAGGAAGCTGCTTTTGCAAAGTTTATTTCCCTTATTTTGGTGATGGAGCTTAATCTGTAAGTATTTTCAGTTCTGTTCTGGTTTGGCAGGGGCACTGTTCTGCTCTGGAGCTCAACAATGCTTCTGAGCAGGTCTTTCGTTCTGCTTCAAGAACTAATTGTTGTAATTAATTTTGGCATAACTAAGACTTCACAAATAACAGCTTGGGCTTGGTGCATGGAAAACACAGTTGTTAAAATTACTTCTTGATCTGGCATCAGCCCTTGCTTTATCAAGTGATGGTGCTTAGGAAGGCCCATCCAGGAATGCCTTACATTTGCTGTAGAAATAGTCAGTTACTTATGAGAAGTTGATTTTTGCAGCCATATCCATGAAGTTGTTTTGTTTCTTTGTATCAGCCTGAAACACTTCACAGGCAAGAAATTGGCATGCTGGGGGGTGCTAGCATGGAGAAGAAGGACTTAGCCAGCAGTGCTCTCTCCCTTGAAGAGCACATGCTGTGATATCTTTATACTTGGAGTTTCCTGAGATCTTGTGCCCAGAAATATTTAATTACTAAAGTCTCCTCAGAAAGTTAAGAGACTAAGTTTTGGGGATACATCTTTATCCGGAGAGACAGGGTAGAATCTTCTACTGGGTGGGCTATAGTACAAACCAGCTACAAATGTTGCTGCACAGGAGTTTTACCGCTGCAGAGTATCCAGAAGTTCCTCAAAACTCTGAAGTGCTGGAACACCGAGTAGGTCGGACTAGAGAAAGCGTCCTGTAAATGTGTTAAATCTGTTCCCGCTACCAATGTCTTGCAGGTTGCTGGATGGGTAGGGCACAGGTAGCGGGTGGGTTGCTGGGTGGATGGAGCCACGTCTTCTCTGTACTTTGCAATTATGTGAGTTCCAATTGAGTAAAAGCATATGTTTTGTGAGGTTGCCATAAGTAAGTTTTCCAGTAAACACACTAGGAATTATTTGAAATACTTAGGGATTAAATATTGGTTTGGATAACATTTTGTATTAAATAGTTAAATTCTTTTCCTGGAAAATCACTTAGGGTTTTCTGATTACCATTCTTTCCCAAGTTCATGATGTCAGGAATGTTTGTAGTCTCAAAAGTGCATTTCTGAGTGTTGATTCTCCTTGTTTGTAGTGGAGGGGCTGCACAAGCTGCCTCTGTGCCTTGCCCCATCAGGAATCGCTGCAAGTTTCATTCCAACTGTCAGTTCATTTTCTTCTCACAGTTTTTGATCATGCTGCCTAGGTTTAGCTTTTGGATGAGGTAAAAGCACATTTTATAGAGAAACCCATCATTTGTTTCTAACTTCTGTTTGATTGTCAGTGCATGTACACGGTAAGATACTAACGTACCAATGAGTAGTTGATAACTACAAAACAAGGGCATCTTTCCATAATCCCTTCCAGCTTTTCTTCAAAAGTTCAACATGTGTATGATGAGGAAGGGCACCAGGGATTACTCGTGGTTCAGGAAGCAGAGCTGCGCAGCATTAACTCTCTAAGTACTGAAGTCTTGAACATGCGTTTTTCTTGTTAATGAATAATTTTTATTACCTGCTTATTAAAATAGTTAAGCTTGTTCAATGTAGAAATGGCTAAGCTAATATCAGTTCAGGCTTCCCTTGTTTTAATAACTCAAAATAGGTTGCCTTGCCAAAGCTTGGGAATTGGGGTACAACTAATCACACTTATGAAGTTGAAAGTTTATATTCTGATGAAATTTCTTGGGGAAGAGAAAGCAGAAAGAGATGTGAGAGTCTATTAGGGCAAAAACAGGACTACTGTTTGCTTACTTTGAACAAAATTTGAATTGGATATAAAGCAAGTGGGAAATGGCAAGAGAAGAATTTTAGTAGTTTTTGATAGGTTTTTTGTCTGTTTGCGGAAGTAAACAACTTGGTGTTGATACTTTCAACAATAAGGGCATTTTTTTTTTTTTTGACAGTGGTACCTAATCGAACAAGAAGCCTACAAAGTAAGCCTTGCATCATCCCTATTTTTTGCTGGATTGCTTATTGGAAATGTTACATTTGGCCCCTTGTCAGACAAACTGGGCAGGAAACCAGTGTATATCTCAGGTAAGATTGTTGAAAGGCTTTTCTTAAGCATTTTGTATGGATAACATCTCTTTGCTGCCTGTGGGCCACTCTACCTGAAGGCTACCCAGGGGTCACCTGCTGTCTCAGTAATACAGAGTCAACGATCTGTAGCAGCTTTCCACTTAGAGTAGAGCAGCACTAAAATTGGTGTCTATGACTGTGCTAAGCAGCATAGCAGTCACTAGAATATCAATGGGAGATGAAAAGTAATGTGTTTTTTGCTATGCCTGTCACTTTTGGAGCACCATATTCCACACACTGCCTAGACATATTGTTCTCAATAAAAATAATTAGCTTTTGTTTGGAGGGGGTGGAGGAAAATTAATACCTGAATACTGAACATCTTTAGAGTGTGTTACTCATATCCTGGGTTCTGTTTCCCAGCTGTGTTTGCAGCTGGAAGGGTGTTTTTGTTTAATGGTAACATCATCTCAAGAGAACATCATCTTTGGCATGGCAGACCTCAAGTGTGTGACTTGAAAATGATTGTAATTTTCATATGGTATGATTTCAGGAAGTCAAATGTGAGAGATGAGAGACAAGAGTACTGTAGACTACTCATTACAGTCAGTAACTGACTGTGGTCTCTGCCTTTCTTTTGAATTCAAGCTGTGCAGCAGAAGTAATAATTACTAATTTTATTATCTTTCTACAGGTCTACTTTTGGATGTAATTTTTGGATATGTCACAGCATTAGCTCCGAGTTATGACATATTTGCAGTTTCACGTTTTTTTGTTGGAATTGTGAATGGTGGAATGGCTCTCGTGTCTTTTGTCCTAACACAAGAATATGTAGGAAAATCATTTTGGTCATTTACAGGTGGGATTTCGGAAGGTTTAATCTTTTATTACTGTGCAATGTATTGTTCTGACTGTCAATACCTTATATTTTGTATTTGTACCAAGGTTGTCAGGTTGTAGCAAGTCAGGCAAGTGTGGTGAGATAGATCCAAGCTCTTTGTGTGGGAAAGGTACACTGACTAAGGAAGTGGGATTGAGTTTGATAAATAGCAAAATAGAGGGTTTTAAAAATTGGTACATTGAGTCCTAAAATTTCTCAATTTCTACAGTGCATTATATTAAAAAAAGAATATATGCTTTGGCAGATTCTGCCACCTTCTGAACAATGCTGTATGGTATCTTGGGGAAGGTATTATTCAAAGTGTTCTTTGAAGGTTCCCAGGACCATGAAATGACTTAGTGCCTGGGTAGTGTTTTTTCCACTGCTGAATGTGCTGACCATCCAGTGTTTTTAAATCTCCTTTTTCATATGCCACTGCCAAGACTTAAAAAAGCACATCAGAGTGTTGTAAAGCTGGAGTAGCTCAGAGTGTAACGCCCTTTTGGCTAGCAAAACATGGGGAAAAACATGGTCCAAATGCTGAGTTGCTGTGCCTGTGAGCATGTTTCTTTCTCTCTCATTTCTTCAGTTGCCTTATGCTACTATTTTTCTTATTTCTTCTGTGGACTCCTGGGGAGTTATGAGACAGTTGTGGTTCATGTATATCTTCCCACTTAAAGTACTGAATTTTCTTCTCCTGGGTTTACTTTCTTGACTCATGCCCTCTTTCTCTTCTGCCCCTCTTTCTCTTCTGCCCCTCATTCTCCCTTGCGCTGTTGTTTCTCTCGGCTCTTGCCATCCTTTCTCCCTGCAGGGCCAGCATGCTGATGGACCAAAACCACAGTCCTGCTGCTTATCACTCAGTGCTTTATTCTAGTTTTGCTCAGATGTTGAGAAAGAGGGGTTGAACAACTGATGAGGGGCTGAATGATAGGGAGGTGCTGCGTGAGCTCAGCTGTGTTAAAGAAGCTCTCCTAGGTGCTGGCTGTGAGCTAGGCTTTGTGGGTGATAGCCAAGAGTTTCTGGGTTAGTACAAGATCTCTTGTTAGTCTGCAGAGGGTTTGTTTTTAGGCTTCTGGAGTTCAAGTTGATCCCGTATTTTTAACACATTTATTTGTGCTTGTTCCTCAGAATTCTGCTGCAATAAACCTCTGGCTTGCAGCTGGTTTTGTACTGAACTGTCCTTGAACTTCTATAACTTCCAGTTTCTGTGCCAGCTTGCTACCTCTATTGAAGATTAACTTAATAGGCCAAAATAAATCATTCATTCACAACACTTTCCTCTCCTCAGGTTTTCTCTTTAGGCTGTAGGTTTCTGTTTGTCCCTTGCTCTTTCCTATGTACCACCCTATATTTTTGAAAGGGGGATCCCCCCATATATTATATGAAGTTATTCTTCGTTGGGATTGCATATTATACTTAATTATAATACATGGGCTAGGGTTCTTTTGTTTGGTTTTTTTTGTTTGTTTGTTTTATTTTCTTTTGCCGATGGTTTCTGTAGTCACCATTTTGGTCTTGTATTTTCAGGTTCATTAACTAATTTGACATTTGCAGTTGGCATTGCAGTTTATGCTTTGCTGGGTTACTGTGTAAGAGAATGGCGCTACCTTGCCTTGGTATCGAATACCCCAGGGGTCATCTTCCTTCTTCTTTCTTTGTAAGTGATTCATGTGAATTATAATGATAAGAAAAAATATGCAGCAATTTAACAGTTACTTTTTCTTGTCATTGTTCAAGGGAGTGGTGGATGACATTTTTCTGTATGGCTTTATGAACCAAGCAAGAGCAAAATCATATTGTGGAGGAAGAAGTGGTTTTAAATGAAGCAGGTCAGGGTTACTCAGAAGACAGGCTTTTGTTTCTGCATGCTGTTACAGTTGTGGTGGCCAGTGTTGCAAAGAGCAGCTGTATGCCAGCTGTCCAATAAAACTTGATTACAAATCTGCTTGGGGAAGGGAAGGCCTGCCAGAGGCTGCGAGCTGGAGCATCAGCCAGGAACACTGCCTTCTGCCAAGAAAGGGTTTCAGTGCTTGAGAAGTTCTGGAAGTGATCCTAGAGGGATTTTAGAGTTTCTTTTCATGAGACATATGTATGCAAAGGGAAATAAATGAGAGCACTTGGAATTGCCTTTTTAGCATGATACTGTATGTATCTGCTTGCTTTTGAGGTCCCTTGTGTGTGTTCCTAGCACTGTTGTGCTTAGGTGCTCCTATTCAGAATTCCTAAATTGGCATGAGCATAAAAACAATTATGAAATGCATCAGTATTTAAGGAACTGCAAGTGCTTAGCTTTGTCTTGGCTGTGTTGTTACAAAATATTCTTCTAGCATATCAAGTAATATAACTTGTATGCTTCTGACACTAGTGAAAGCTGTAGAAGAAATTAAAGTATTGGTTTAGTGGGTTGCCTACACATTAATACAGGGAATGTCTAGCATACAGCACAGAAAAAAAACTCTTCTAATTTTTATTTAATTAAAAAAAAATTCAATTCTTTTTTAGATACATCTGATCTTGAAACAAATGATGTTAAAGAATACACAAAAAAACCACCACCCCCCCTGCTTCCTGTAATCAAGGAAAACAAAGCCTTTGGGCTGAGGAAGGAAGTTCTTCATAATGTATTTTCCTCTATGGTATTCTGTTTCTGGTGAAGTAGAATTACTTCTCCCAAATACTAAAAACATTGGGATCCTCCAAAGTATCGAAAGCTTAGTTTGGTTGTAGGGTGTATATTTGTTAAAAGTACCAGAGAAAATGAAGGTTCACTTAAAAATAATCCATTATTTTTTTTTACGGCTCATAAAAGTAGCAGCACACTCTCTGGCCTAAAAACCAAACCAAAACAAACAACCCAAAACAAATCAGGAATCATGAACTGCAGTTGTGGTAAGTAAGGATATTCTGATTATACTTGAGAATAAGAGGTTTCCAACCTAATGTGGGCACCAGTGAGCTGGTACTGGAGCCTGACAAGTAATTTCCCTGTAAGATTTCTTTCTTTCTTCACTCCAACTTGGAGCCTTCCCATAATGGAGAAGCTCAAAATACACTTCGTGAAAACAAAGTTTTGCCTGGGCTGCTCAGACAGTTAGGTTGCAAGATGCTTCCGGGGTAATGCTAGTGTAGCATTTCCTAAGAAGTCAGTTCAGGAGAAGTCAAGATTTACATTTAAACTCCTCTAGCATGACTGAGTGCTTTGTGAAGCATCTCCAACAATCCTTGTCTAAGATGACTGTATAATTATCAAGTATGTGGAATTTGATAGGCAAAACAATGTCAGCGGAATGATTTCTCAGAATTTTGTATGGATACTTTAAACATTGATTTGAAAAGTGGAAAGATTGACTTCAGTGAGTGCTGTGTTAATAGGAATGAACTTATCATAGTTGATTTTCTGTTCTTTCCTGTTAGTATGCTCCCAGAATCACCACGATGGTTGTATTCCCAAGGGAAAATGGAAGAAGCTGAAGATGTATTGCAATATATTGCCCTTGGTAATGGAAAAGAGAGATTAAATCTGAAATTAAAACCAAATGCAGGAACTTTCAGAAAGGATGTATCAGCACCTGGTATCCTAAACTTAGTAAAACACCCTGTCCTTCGGTGGCAAACTGTCATACTGATGTACATCTGGTATGTAATAACAAGGTACTGAGGCTGTAACTGAGTCAGGCACAAGGAAGTGATTAGAAGTTTTCATCCTTTTAAAAATCCTGTCCTCTAAATCAAATTTGTCAGTTGGTGACAGACAATAATAATCTAAAATGATGTGTTGTAAAGTTGATGTTTCATTATTATAGCTGTTGTGTTTTATGTTCAGTGTTACTTAGAAACTGCTTCAAACCCTCCTAAGAAGTAATCCGATGAGAACATAATATTTACATTGAGTGAAATGAGAAGCTGAAGCAGGAATTACTGAGAGGATGTGGATTTGAACCACCCTTAGTAAGAAAAGAACTATGTGGGTTAGACAAGAGTAGAGATCTGCAGCAAGAATAAGCATTAACAGCCCGAAAGCCCATTACACGGGTTCAGTGGAGGAAAACCGGAGGCAAACAAAATACAGATTGCATAGATTTATATTAGGTACTGTCTTGAAAAGCCAGTGTTGCTTTCTGTGGGGTGGGGATGTGTGGGCATAGTTCTTTCCAAGGAAAATACAATAGGTTTGTTGGGGAAGCCTTTCCAAGGTTTGCAGAAGATACTTGGTGTTAATCAATGGTTGCAAAGGAATCCTAGGAAAGAAAACTGTGTGTACAACAGTTAAGCATCAGCTGCTTACAGTTACTAGCTTTGCTGAATAACCTAGGGAAAAAAGGCAAGCTAATAGGAAATTCTGAAAGTTGTGCTGTGCGTATGGATGCATGCTTTTTTTTCTTTCAAGAAGTTGCTTTTTTAATTAAACAGCAATTATTCTCTTTGCCGTGTTTCCCTTGTGGGGGCAACTAAGAGCTCTCTTCCTAGCAGGTAACTCAATGTAACTAATCCATAACTCGGCATAATTTCCCTTTTAAATACTTTCTTAGTCCTAAAGACAACTTATGTTAATAGTGTAACTTCTGTGGATTTTTTTTTTAGGTATGTCTGCAGCTTTGTGTACTATGGACTAACTTTAAATGCTGGTGAATTAAGAGGAAATCTGTATTTAAATGTGGCTCTTTCTGGTCTTGTGGAAGTTCCAGCATTTCCTCTCTGCCTGTTTTTTATTGAGAAATCCTGGTAAGAAAAGCTTATTTCCTAGTTTTCTGCATATATTTGTTTATAGCTTAGAACAATGTTAACCTTTTTCTGAGGAAGAAACTTCCCTGGTTTTCTAAACAGTGTTGATTTTTTTTTATTTTTATTTTTTTAATTTACTCTGCTGCAGGGGTTTCTGCAGTTGGTACAGAAATGGGACTCTGATTTTTCTGCCTCCTCTTTTTTTTAGTTTTGTTCATCTTTGAAAAGCTCATCTCTTGAGTAATTCAAATGATTAATGTTCTTAAAAAAAGCTTGGTCTTTATGGAAAAAAAAAGTGAGTAGCCTAGTTATTTCAGTATCTATAGCTTAGATAGATCTCTTACATATTTTATTCAGAATGACTTGTTTTTGTACTGCCTACCAACTGCAGTTGAAAGCAATTTTTAGCATTGGTCATTTTTACTTAAACTTTTCAAAGAGAACTTTGAAGTGAGAGCCATTCAGTTTTTATTAAGGTAGAATGCTTGATTACCTTGTTATTTTCATACATTTCAGTGCTATTTGGAGGCCATCCTTTATGTGGGTGGTTATTTCCAAAGACCAAACAGTCTGGCAACCCAAAGCTATTCAGGGTTTTATGTAACCTTCAGTTTGAGTATCTTTGTAATTGGTCTCACTGAGATCAGTGGCAAAAATCCTATTTTCTTCAGTCAGGTGAGGATGTCACCTTTTCAGTTTTTTTGGGCAGTAAAAATCTGTCATCTTTGTGAAGCTAAAAAGGAAAACAACCAGCCAACCTTCACCTCTAGCCCAAGAAGCCTGAGTCAAGGACACGCATTTAAACCACAAACTGCACAAGTCCTTTTCTATGTCTTTTATTTCCATTGTAATTTGTCAAATTAGTTGTAAAATGAAATCTTTTGGTTTCCTGAAAGGATGTGTGTAGTTTTAGGTGCTTAATGCAAAACAATGTGACAAGCCAGCTGCACCGTTTTCATTCAGTTTTTCCTTAAAGTGTAGCTTTTTTGTTGCAAAAATATTTAGAAATATTACTGTTTGTTATAGATAAGCTGTGGTTCTGCTACTGTAGGGCAGTAGTTAGAAATAGCTGTGAGAGTTCCCAGAGTAACAAGCATTTATACTATTTCTACATGCCTGCAAACTGTTACTGTGAATATCTCTATTTGTGATCCTTTGCAAATAATGATGAAATAAATTGTAATATGGCAGATGTGGAGATGGACTGATGGTTTTGCATCCCATTGTTGTCTTTTAAAGCAGTAGGCAGTAGAAATAACCTTTGCTTATTTCTATGCATATGCTAGACAGAAATGCATACAAAACAGCTTTACTGTGTGTCATGACTATATATTTATGTAAAGTTGTAAAAGAGAAACACAGATTAGGAAGCATTAGAATTGCATTTTCTTGACCAACATGAAATTTGATCTTTGTGTGTGTGCACCGTAGTACCCTTTTGGTGATAGGGTCCATTGCCTTGCCCATATAGAGAAGAAGAGAAGATGGAGCTCTTGTTGCTGAAGTAGATGGGTTCTTCTCAAGGCTACATATTCAATAGCTTGAAAATCAGAGCTTTGCTAGAAATTAGAAAACTTTTGTGGGAGGACTTCAGTACCAGAACTAGGAAAATAATGCAAGATTTGAAGCACTTACCAAGTTACAATAGGTTAAGTTGGTAATTGCAGACAAATTGAAAGTATACTGAAGGACTTTGTTTCCATCTTTATCTGGATGTTCTTTTACTTCTAGGTCTGGAAGACGTAAAACTATGACATGTTTTCTGATATTTGCAGGATTTGCCTGTATATTTACCATGTTTGTACCAACAAATGCAGGTAAGTGTGTAATGCTGCTAAAGTAGATGTTTGTTAATTTAGATAAAAGCTAACAAAACAAATTAATGAGTATTTTGTGACCAAGTATATGAGGGCCTAAAGGTCTAACCATTTATACCTCTTTCTTCTGGGGCTAGTCAGGAAGTCAGGCTCTTGTCTATATTGCTTTTCACTTGTTGCAGACATAATTTGATCCTGTTAGTTGACTAAGTTTGTCTGACTGCAAGCCCTTGGCTCTTTGAAGTTTCTGTCTCAAATATTGTCATTGCCTTCATTTATCACTATTAAGCAGCTTACCTTAAAATACTGGATTTAATAGTCAGACTGCAGTGCAGTGTAATGTTAGTTAGACCAGATCTTGATGATGTGGGATGCTGAGCTTAATTTTAATTTTGTTTTGGTGGCCTGTAATATTTATAGGAGAATAGGAATGGAGGTTTTCCTGCATTAGAAGGTTATTTCATCATTACAAACCCCAAACAACTAGAAAGCTTTAAAAAAATAATTTGGCACTTGAAAATTAGAAATGGAAGACTTGCAATATGGAAGTAATGGGGATGGCAAGAAGCGTGCTGCCTTTCTCAGTCTCATGATGCATATTCCTGTGCTATGCAGTTGTGAGGACACGTCATTGTAACATGGAGTATCATCGAGTATATTTCTCATCTCAGAATACGATGTTTTTTTAACATTGTCAGTGACACATGTTCGGTTTTGTATTTTCACTTTCCATTTCAAGTACAGTTTTTGTTTACTAATACTTAGGTACTGAAAACTCCTGTCTATATGACACTAACAGAAGTGGTTTCTTGTATGTTTTTTAATACTGCATCAGTAGAAATTCTTTAACCTTAAAAGTGTTTTAACTGAGAAGCACCAGTGATGTTATTACAAGGTAGCCTTCTGTAGGTTGTGTTTATCTCTAACAGTGGTAAATGCTGTCTGGCATCCAGTTCAAGCTGATCTTAGAAAAGTCTCAAGAAGAAAAACAGAGAGATAAAAAATGCTGTAATCCTGTTTGCCATGCTTGTATTAATTCAAGTCCTTAGATGTTTTGCTGCACCTTTTATTGAGAGGTTTTTTTCCTTTGTTCCAATAAGTTTGCTCTTTGGGCTTCTTTTTATGTATTTTAAAACAAAATAAAAGCAGTAGTGACTAGTCAGGATAGGGTAATAATTCTTGAAGAGTTGCTAAATTTCAGGAAGTCTGTCTTTTCCAGTTGACTTAACTTTAACCCCATTAAAACATCTTACTTTCCGCTGTGGTATGAATAAAGCTGGTTCATGGCTCAGAGTGATCTGTGTCTGTTAAGTAGAAAGAAATTTGGCTCCAAGCATGATGATGATGGGTGAGGATTGTTGCATCTCTAGTCTGATGCTCCTATCAGTAAGGAGAACATTTCTTACATTTGTCTAAGTCTTCATTCTTCTGAGCAATAAGATCCTTGATTTTATTACAAGGGATTTAAGATTTTAATGAGAGATTGGGCACTTGCCTCTCATGTCTGTAACTTTCACTTGATTTGAGAATCTGATAAAAGTAATTTTCCCTGTGGAATAAACTAATAACGTTGTTATTAAAGATCCTCAGCTCCCTCTTACCTTATCACTTAGAACTCATCAGTTAATTTGTGTATCAGATTGGAAGACAGTGAGGGAGAGTGGCAATGGAGGGGGAATGGAATTGTAATACTCTTTTTCAAAAGTTGCTGTAAAGCATGAAGACATTGCTTTTTGTGCCTGCATTATGCTATAGCAAGCAAAGGAGACTTCTAGCCTAGGGGTACCTAGATTTTAACTTTCAATTAGATATATCTTCTTATGCTGAAAACATAACAACTTTTTGTGACTTTTATTGATACACTTTTCACTGAAAAAGGAAAGAAAATTTGCAATTCTTTAACAAGAGCTGAGGCGTAATTGAGTTAATGTCAGGTATTTCCTTTTGCATTGAGCGTGACCCTTTCTTGGTGGATATTTTTTCTGAAGTAAATTTAAAGACTTCCTTAGTTTTAGAAGTACTGCTTAAGTTTCTTAAAAGAACTTTTACTCATGAAGATGACAGCCAGAGGATGAATCCACATAATGGCACTGCAAGTGAGACTAGTAATGACATAACTCCTATTCCATAGGGTCTTAAACATCAGCATCTTTGTGACCATTTGTTTTCTCTGCAAGAATTGCAAAAAATACGTTCCAAGGCTCTGAGGAAAATGTCATGTCAATGTCTGGGCTTACCCAGGGAAGCTGATGTGCAGAGGTTTAACACAGATTCTAATCCTGCAATAATTCCCCATGTGGCCAGCCTTCAGCCTCCCCTGAGGGAGGGAACCTGGAGAAGACTGCTTTTTAAATTTGCTCCTGACTTTGAGTGCTAATTTCTCTGTCTAGAACAGACTCTTTCTTCTGTTTTGATAGTAAGACCAAAACTTCCTAAATGCATTAGTGCTATACTTTGAACACATAGATGTGCAGTGTGCCATTTAAGTCTCCCTGGGAGAGAAACAGCATATTTTAAAACATGTTTGAGAATTACAAATCTCTTCATCATTTCATCTTTGGTTGACGGAAGAAAAGGGATGTCCCAGCTTTCTGACAGCACCCAGTGAGGCTCTGAGGACCAGGTTTACACCTCTCCACCTTGTGATTGTATGCAACATTCCACTGAGCAAAAGGGGAATTTGGCTGAAAATGTATCTGTTTTGCTTGAATTATAGAAATAATTGCAGAAATGCATCACACTTAAAAACATTAAATAAAGTTTCTGGATTTCACCTTATGTACAAATGAATTTCTGCTTTGGTTGAAATAGAATCTGACTTGATCAGATGAACAGAAGGGCAAAAATTAAAAGTCAGTTGAGAAGCAATCAGATTTTCCATTACTTAATCAACATAATTTGATCCAAACCAAAACATGCTGAACTTGGTGCTGAGGAAGAGAACCTGAAATGCAGCTAATCAGAGTGTTCAGTCTTCCTTATTAAAATGGATGATGCAAACACAATCAAATCAGGATAATGAAGGACAGATTTCTTTTGGCCTTTAAATGATGCACACTTCAGTTTAGCCAGTGTAGCTCTGTCTAATAGAAAACTGGGCTGCATTAGCACTTGTTCTTTTAAGTCCCAAAAGGATGTGAATCAAGTTTTATGGTTTTAGTCTAATAAATTAAGGAGGCAATGATGTCTGTCAGAAGATGCTGTTACCTGGTAAGGTATTCTGACTGCAGAGCTGGAAGTCTTAGCCCTTCCATTTAGAGCTGTGATAGTTTTATACTTCCCCTGCCAAAATGGGTCCAGTTTTCTTGGTGCTAAATATAATTTTATTAGCAGTTCTGATTCTAGCTCTTAAAATGGTTGGGAAGAACTGAAATACTGCTTTTCAACATAGTTTAAAAAAAAAAAAAAAGAAAGTAAGAAACCAGACTATTTATGCTTGTTCTGTTTTTTGTTTTTTTGTTTTTCCTGAAAGGTCTGCTCTTCAGTTCTACTTTGTTAGCTTTGTGTGGAAAAATGATGGTCAGTGCTGCTTTCAACATTTTGTATATTTATACATCTGAACTGTACCCAACAGTACTGAGGTAATTACCAGAGCTTCTAGGTAAATGAAAATACTTTTCATGCATGGTGATACTGACTGCTGTTGTGCTTTAATATTTATCTGTAACGACTTTTACCTGAAATAGCTATATGAATTCTTTCTGTAATTAAGGCAGCTTGACAGGGCTTGAAAGGGTTTTTTGTATCAGTCACACATTTTGCACCAATGCAGTTTCCTGGGCTGTTTGTGGCACCTGCCTTTAGCTTTGAATGTGGAACAAAAAGAGGAAAACCAGCTTCTTATACTGCTATGCTAAGTGCTGTATTTCTCATTTATACTATTGATTTTGGAGGATAAAATCACAGGATGCAGAACCAGACATAATTATGTGGTGGAAGTATATGCTGACTTAAGCATAAACATAGACTACGCAGTAAGGACTATTTACATTACGTCTCTATACTTGTATCTCCCGTTTCATTAGGCTTGTTTCCCTGCTGAAAAAAGCAAGTGATGATCTGTATCTTTGTTATTTAATTAAATATTCATAATGTAACTCATTTTAATAGTTTATGTATGACAGTAATTTGCTTTATACCATGTAATTCATGAACAAGTGGGCTAAAACCTTATTTTTCATAGTTCTTATGGACTCTGTGAGGTTACTCTCTCCTGTTGTCCCAAGATAAATCTGAGATAAGAAAATACAGTACCACAGAATGTTGTTCTTCTCACCCCATCTCGATTCGACACGATTCTCTGAACTGTACTCAGTGTCTAGAATTTGAGCCATATTGCACAAGTTGCTCAAAAGCAGCAACTACAAAACTACTGCAGAAATGGAGTCCTTCTTTAAAGACAGCAGGAAAGTTGAAAGCTGATGTGGAGTAGGAAGGTGTTCCAGCTGGTGGATGTGTCCTGTAGCACTGCAGAAGCAATTAAAGTGGTGACATAAATCACTTGATTCTAGGACACTGAGGTCTTGATGGGGAAAAGTATGGGGGTGGGGTGTGTGTAGATAAAAATGTGAGTGACTCCTTGGATTGGCTTTTTTTTCTCTTGCGAGGTTCAGAAATTGCCATATGTTCCGGAAGCATACAAAGCTAGACTCTGAATACAGGTTTTGTGTTTTGCAATCAGACTTGTGAGGGTGGAGGTGGATTGTCTGTTTTCAGATACTGACTTGTGGTTCTTGGCATGGATTTAGGTTTAATATGCAAGTCCCAAACACACTGATGGAATTTGGGTGTGGGGGTTTGTTTACATTCTCCCAGTCCAAACTTTTGTACTCTTCTTGAAGTGGGCAGTTTTTGACCCTTCCTGTCCCCTCCGCTTTTCTGGAGTTGAGAATCAAGAGAAATAAATCTCAAAATATTTTAATATTTTGATAATTTTAATACTTTTGCCTGTTTCACTGTGTTTCCATATGATGCTGTCTTCCTAAGTCTCACTGATGTTCAGCGCTAAGTGTGTGGCAGCTCAAACCTAGCAGGGATTTCAGAAGTGTGTCTCTGTGTTTGAAACAAAGTGTTTGTGATTAGGAAGATTTTTTTTTTTTCTTTTTTTAAATTAATCGAGTAAAGGGCTGTTTCACTTGAGAATCCCCACTAAGGTTCTGGCAAAAAAAAAAGTAACTTTGTGTGTCATACACAGACTGACAGTGGAGAAAATGCAATAAGGACAGTTCAAGAAGTTGCACGCTGTTAGACCACTCATGTTTAATAATGTGGCAAACTGTTAATTTAAACCGTATGAGAATTCCTCGCGTGACAACTTACGTGTTTTAAAATGTTTGATATCTCTGGTACTGTAATTGCAAGTATGAGAGTTTATGCAAGAAAAGCATTGGTGGGCGTTTAATTTAAAGCGAACCACCAGCACCATCTGGTGGTCTTTGCAAAGCTTTGTCCTGATCCCGGCGTGGCTCTGACAGCGGAGCTTAGGCCCCCCGTATGAGGAGGCATGGACCATTCATAGCCAGTGGAGAGGAGGTGGAATGCACTTTTTAATTTTTTTATTTATTTAATCCAGTTGGATGTTTTGCAGGAAAATTAAATGTCTCCAGTATTACTGCTCCTTATTTAAAACTTCCTGCTTTATCTTTACTTATCTTTTTAAGTTACTGCTTTATCTTACTTATCTTTTTAAGTTAACTGATACATGGTGTAATGACAACTACACCTCATGTTAGAAATGGGGAGGTGCTGCAAGCTGGAAACTGTGTATGTGCCTTGGGCTTTTTTCCTTTTTGATGTGTCTTTAAAATACCTTCAGGAACAAAAAAGTTAAAAAAGAAAGAAGTTAAAAATACCATTGCATTTTGGACAGAAGGGAAGACCTTGTATTTGGGAACAAGATGTAATCATAGCTCTAATAATATAGACTTAAGGCCAAACTCATGGTTTGGTTTCTTTTCGTTGTTTGGTTGGTTGTTGCGTGTGTGTGGGTGTTTTTGTTGTTGTTTTGTTTGGTTGGTTGGTATTGTTTTTTTTTTCTTTTTCCCCATGCGAAAATGATTGATGACATCCTTATATGTGATGAGTGAAATTGGAGTGGGGCCACTGGACTGTCTTAGGGTAGTTTTGGAAAGCTCATTTGCTTATTTTCACAGTGGGGAAACTATTGTGTTTTCACTTAATGTCAGTGGTAGCAGGTAAAGTTTGTACTCCCTTAAAATACTTGCCGTTTTGATCTCTGGTTGTCTTTACAACCCACGTTTTTTTTCTGCTGAAATACCCCTCGAGGAGTGCTGCATGGCATGTGTTCTTTGGCAGGCAGCTGCAGCAGGAAAAACTGGCTTGAGCAGAGCTGTGATTACCCTGTTTGTAGAGCTATTTTGGCTGGCATTAGCTCAGCAGGGTGCTCCATGGGATTGTAGGAGCACATGCAGTCAGTCAGGTCTAGTAGGTGCTCTAGTGAGAGTGGTGAAACCAGGGCAGTAAGGTAAGACTGGGTGGTCAGATGTTGGCAGTGCAGCATCTCAAGAATACTTGCTAGTAGTTCTTGGGCAATCATGCATTTTTTGTTTGGATACCATGACATTCTTCTGCATAACCCAAATTGTGGAATTCTCCATCTCTGGGTATGAACAGGCTTAGGGTCTGTGGGAAGAATGCTTCTAAACGAATGGTTCACACGCAGACTGGTGTGTCATCTGTTCAGAGATTTTGTTGACAGGGAAAGATGCTTGACCTTGTCTTTTGGGGTTTGGCTTTATGTTGCCTTAATGTGAGGAAGTGTGGGTTGCGAATTCCCTTTTCCCAAGAGGACCTGATAAAAGAGAAGGTTGCTTTGTCCTTTTTAATGTTGTTTTATTTTTATAGCAAAGTCACTCAAAGTTTCTCATTGTCATCCGCTTCCTTTAACCTGTGCAAAGGGCCATTAGGAAGGGATGTGCAGGTGGGTGATTTTGGTATGCTAGTGACCCACGTCACCTCTCTGTTTGTCATCTTTAATCCTGTTACTGTCTTCCTGTCTTTGGAGGAGAAAAAGGAAACAGGGTGAGCCAAAGCAGCTCAGCTCAGTGGTGTGACTGAGGATGATGATGATGAATGAGAGGAAGCAACTGAGACATGTAGGCAGAACAGCAGCCACTGTGAGCTGGTTCTTGCTGTCTCAGTGATGGTGCCAATGCCAGTCTCTGAAGGAGCTCTTAAATACCATATTTAGGAGTGATACAGAGATGGAAGATTTCTGTATTTATCAGGAAGTTTTTTTATTTTTTATTTTTTTTAACTTTCTTTGAAGAGGATCCTTGAAGAGGCTCCTGCTGTTCTAACCTAGGCTTTGATTGTCACAGTCTAGATGGGATTGTTTTAAACTTGGCTGAAAATTGAAGGGATTGCAGAATTCCGTAGCCCCTCTAGTGACACATCTGGCCAGATGTTTGCAGGTTTCACACTGGCAGTTAATGAGTTTCTGTTTGGAGGTAAGCACTGCTGTTTCATCTGTGCAACCTGAGGTGGCAGAAGAGAGGCTGATAGTGACAGCCTGAGTTAGAGCTAGCATTCAGGATCTTCCGTCTAAAGATCCTGCCAGGTTTTGAAATCATGCGCCATCCAGCACAGGGATGTCCAATTAAATTGCCCTATATGGCAGGTTGAAAAATCTCTCTGTTCAAACTTTTGTGAAGGAGTGCACAACAGGGTGGCTTTGTGAGGGTTTGAAAGGGTGTGATTCACCTTGCTAGCAGATACTCTTAGAAAATCTTCACTATAACTGGTGGAGGCCTTTGAAAAACTTTTTTTTTTAATAAAGGCTATTGATAACTTAAAAAATGAAGTGTAAGTTGGTTCTGGCAGTGCCACCACATGTTCATATGTGATTCAGTTGTGTATTCTGAAACTACAAGTCTTTCACTCTTTGTTTGAAACAGAAATGCTGGCTTGGGTATCTGTTCCATGTCTTGCAGATTTGGAGGCATTTTGGCTCCATTTGTGCCCTCTATGGTAAGATTATTTTCTACTTATAATGTAACTCAGGTTTATTAAATTGTCTCAAAAGCACTTTGCTGATTTTTTTTTTTGTCTTGAAAAAGATTTGTTTTATGAAAAATTAAGTAGCATTCACTCAATTTCAAGAATTAATGAACAAGATGTATAGAAATACCTTGACTTCTGTCCTTTTTGGAAATTAGATAATGTTCTGTGTTTAATATTTCATCTGTTAGTGAAACGATTGTCATAATACATTCAATACTGCTAAAGCTCACTCAGTATCTGAGTTCTTTTAGTAAACAAAATTTTGGTGTGGGGCTGTTTCTGTGAAATGACATTTATTGGGGTTTTTTGTTCTACCAGTATATGAGTAATTGCACAGATTGCTGGAGTGAAAAGTTGTAGCCTTCTGGCTTTGACTGGTGTTCATATGGATCATATATTTTAAGAGCAGGAAATAATGGTGGCTTTTTACTATGAATTTTTATTTTTAGAAATCTCTTAGTCATTCTGTACCGTTTGTGGTGTTTGGAATCACTGGACTGTCAGCGGGATTCCTGACTCTCCTTCTGCCAGAAACACTGAATAAGCCAATTGCTGAAAGCATTGAAGATCTCCAGAGCCCCAAATACCAAGTGCTTAAAAGTAAAAAGGTAGAATAATTTTTCTTGTTTTCAACTGTAGCTTTACATTATTTCCCCCTCTATCTTACGTGAGCCTACTATGATCTATACATGAGCCTAGTGTCATCTATACGTGATCTATTACATAAGCCTATATGATCTAGTGCATGTTGGTTAGATTATGCATGCATGAATGAATGTGTACATGAAGTTTTGTAAATGAAGTTTTGTAAAGTTGTTTCTCTCGCATTCAGTGGAGATTAAATTTATTCTTTATTTGGCTCGTAAAGATGAAAAGGCTGACACCTGTCACCTGTATGTATTAAATTATATGTAAATTAATGATATTTCCTTTCCATAAAGGAAAACAAATTGTAGAAAGGCATTCTGAAATAGGCAGGAGCAATATATTTGGCAACATTCCTGGGTTTTACAGTAAAACAACTAGGCATATTTTTCATATATTGTATTGTGCCTGTTTTGTAGTGGAACATAATCTATATACCTGAGGAAGTGTTTTATCCTTCATTAGTCTCCTGGGTTAGACACATTTAAAGTATTTTCCTGCTACTGATATGCACTAAATAAAACTTAGGCAGAGGGAAATGAAAGTTTTCTTTGTTTCAGCAGGTAATAGAATAGAAAATGTGAAGCACACCCCCTAAGTTTGGGAATGGCTTCCCAGAATGATTAGTTTGAAAAGAAGGGGAGGGAGATGGGAATTCCCAAAAGAAAGGAATTGTTTGCTTAGAACTAGGTAGGCTTAGTGTAGATACGTTTCTTATGTTTTTCCTTTATATGCTAGCTTAATTGTCTGGTAATGCTACACACACTATTATGCTTGCTTTCTTATCTGCATTCAGTTGGAATGGGAAAAAAATTGAGTTTTTAACTTCTCAGTTTTTTAAAAAGATTTCTCATTTCCGTATTTAATATTAACCTATAAAACAAGACAAGAAAATCAGACATGCAAACTGTTTTTCAATAATTATTTTTCTTCTGTCTGACAGGCAGTGTTAGAAGAAAACACTTAAGTTTCAGAAGGCTTGTCTGTGATGGAAAATGCAGTGTCTATTGAGAAGATGCTCTAACGGTTGAAGAGCAGATTCTTGCTCTATGTATCTGACAGGAAATGTTGGGGCACTTGTGTATAATGCTGTTTGTAGCACGTTAAACAGTTCTATGTGGAGGCAAATTGAGAAGATGGAAGAAGTTGATCAAAGCTTGTGAGGAAAGAGATGACAAATTGGTGCATTAATGACTTGGCATGCTGTAGATGTTTGGACTTCTTTACAACTCCTTAAAATGAAGCGTTAATTTATTTTACAAAATGCAATTGCTTGCTTCAGATTAAGCTATAATGGCGTAATTGAAGTTATGTGTATAATTTAAAATTTAGATGGCCTTATATATACAGGCAAGCTGTAATCGTGAAAAGTAACAGCATCCTGTATATACTAATTTTCTCTACAGATATTTTTTTTTTCCTCTAAATTACAGTATACCTCACAGTGTGAAGAGACCAAAGATTTCTATAGGTTATTTGCCTTAGTGTATCTAGCATAAGAAACCTGGATAGGAAATCTGAAAGGTGTATAAACACATTTTATTGTGGGAGTAAATAATTTAATACAGTTGTACATGAAAACATATATAAAGTTAAAAATAATACTATATTGGAAAAATTATGTCAGGTCTTTCAGAGGGACATTTAAAGGAGAGAATGAGTAACTTTTTAGGCAAATTTAATTGGCGTTGTAAATGTGGAACTAGAAATTACTGCGCAAGTCATATATTGTGTAAAAATATGTAATAATATGTAATCAAATACATTTTGCATATGAGTTGGAAATTGTTCCTGCAAGAGGGGAGGGTGTGTTTGGTTAACAGTTAATACATTTATGTTGAAATAGGTGCATCATATGTTATAGTTTTCTGATAGGCAACATAGTTTTGTTATAAAAAAAAAAAAAAATGTAACATGGGTACTATGAGTGCTTTTTCCAGGATGTTTACCCAGGTGTTTTTGAAGACTACTTGTATTATTTTGATTTTGGCTCCCTATCTAATGTGTCTGATAGGAAAAGGTTAATTAAAGTCCTCTCTATTTTCAGCAAGTTCCATAGTCAAATATTAGTTCTGTAAATGAATACGCACCCATGCAAGTGTATGTGCATTTATGCATACATGTATGCACAAATAAGCAGGTTGCTCTGCCAAGATGTCTCAAAGAAATCTGTGCTGTGTCTATGCGTGCAGTTCAAATGCCCTGATAGGTTCCCAAGAGGTGACAATCAGTTGGCAATCAGAACAACTTTTAGATAATGCTGATGTACAGGAGTATTGCATGTACATTTATTTAACCTCTGGGGCTGAAGCTTGATGACAAACAACTTACAGAATATGCTGCAAACCCTTATCTTCTGCTCATTTATTTATTCATCGTTTTTGTAATTTTTCACTTTCATGAGGATTAGAATTAAGTCTGTGAATTTCCTTTTTCTGAATATTAATGCCTTCCATTGCATGAATATTTATGACCATAGTAACTGATTGTACCTCTTCAGAGGATAATTGGGTCAGCAGGGATATGGTAAAGAGCAAGTTTTGTTATTGTTGACTTCAACTTTTGTTACAAGAAATAAAACTTAATAAGAAATAGAATGCTATAAAGTTGTATTCCCAAAGCAGAGATATGACTGGAAAGGAGGACTGTAAAGGTACCATTATGTGGTGGGAGTCTGTCTCCCTTCTGCCACATGTTATCAAACCGTATCATGACATTTTCCCTCTGCATTTTATTTGATGTCATGTGAAAAATGGGTAACAAAGATAATTTACATTTTGAACATCTTTATTTCTGCTTTATTTGACCTGGAATTTTACCTATGATGACTTGCGTGAATTCTGTGGATTGATAACCTGAAAACTGCCCCTGAAAAGAAGTTAATGATCTTTTCATCAACTCTGGCATTACTCATGCTACCTGCAGCAATTTTTGAGTGTAGGCTAGTGTGGAAGCTGGTTTGGTACTTTGTCTCCAAGATCAAAAAAAGGATACGGATAGAAACATTGACTTGTATTTTTGCTTCTTTTCAATTCAACACCTTGTTTGACTTTTAAGTTATCTTTGCTGCATTTTGCTATTGCTGGCTAAAAAGATGCAATTTAGAAAAAAAATAAAGTTGTTTGTTTGTTTGTTTTTTTCCAGTTACATGTTTAGGAAAAAGGAAACTATTTGCAGCTATATTAGAATTTTTTCAGTTGGACTAATGTGATCAGTGCATTAGGTCCTAATGTTAAAAAGGTCCTAAAGTTAAAAAACCAGCTGTGTCATTCATTACTGTTATATGTCACAGCAAATCAGAAAAGGCAGCATTTTTTTTGCCAAATAACTGCTTTTTGGAGTAGGTATCTTAAAACTCTTAACTTTGTAGCGTTAGAAATTCATCACTTAGAGCAACTCTTTTTCCTAATATTTTTTTAATGAAGACAAAGCAGTTTTAGGCAGGGATGTCCTAATAAATTCTTTACTCAGTGTGGAACTATTACCTATTGCTTTCCATTTCTCTGTGAAAAGAACAAAGGCAGCTGAGTTAATTTAAGTGGTTTAATTATACACATTAGGTCACAATCACCATCCTTAAGTACCACTTCTAGCTCTTCTCCTGTGCTTTATTTGTGTGTAGAAACTTGATTATAATTTTACATCTGTACAGTTCATCTGTTTGTGTTAGAACAATGTCTTCAGTGCTCAAGCCCTTAGTTGTGAAATTGCCTTTTTCTTTATCTGTTTTTAAATTGAAGACTTTTTACTTTTTATCAGCATTTGAGATAATCCTGCTGCTTTCTGGCTTTTATGTTTTAGCTGCAAATGTCACGGTTTAGAAAAAAAAAAGAAGAGTTGGCTGATTTGCAGTGTTCTGAAATACATCTGTGATACAGGTTGTTGAGAAGGGAAGTTTGAACTAATTTAAGGTTTTTTTCAGTCCTTTCTGTTTTTCATGTTTAATCTTGCTGTATTCTTCCTGAAGGAGTGCTGGGATTGTTTTTTTGTCTTGGGTGCTAAGAGTGCTGAGCAGAGGCAAAGCTTGAACATTCATTTATGCCACCTACGTTTTAATGCCGTTTTCCTGTTACTGTACAATATTTCTCCTTTAATTCTTGGTTACCTTTGCTTAAGGCCCAGTTTTTCCCATATCAGAGGAAGAAAATAAATTTTAAATAGTCAAAAATATTTTTACATTGTTGCTCCAGTTCATGCTATCTTTTGTATTTTGTTTCACATTTTGTGGTTCCACAGCTCTCCCAGTGACCCACTTGTTGCTGAGAATCAGTGGGAAATCAGCTGAAGATACGTTTTCCTGGCTGGCAAATATCCTCTGCTTTATTTTGTCATCAGCCAGCAATATACACCCACACACTGTATTAAAAAGCAGGTCAGGTATAAAGGCAGGGCTTGAGTTCCTTTTCCTGGAAAGTAAATTTTGCCCAATATTCATGTCAAGCTCAGATCTTTTTCATTACCCCATTTGATGTTTCATCAAAGCTGTTTCCTCCATTGTTGGAGCACTGTATGTTGTTGCTTGAAGGGAAGTCTAGGAATTCATTTTTAGATTTTTATCCTTTTTAATCTGAGCAGAGTTAAGTACAAATAATCATTTGCTTTGTTGACTAATACTCTTAGCTAAGCAGCTGAGAAAGGAGGAGGTGAACTTTTCACACTACCATCTGTAACCAGCTGGTTCTGCCATTTAATTTTTAGTTTGCTTGAGGCAAATAACTGTATCGTGTATTACAGCATGCAAGAGATCTAATTTTTTTTCCTTGCAGTGAGTTATCTGCAGTTCATTGGAAAGGTCATCTTTTTCCTGTCACTTGCTACAGGAGATGTAAAATTTCCCAGAGATGACTTATGATAGATGCAATCTTTCCATTAGAGTTAAATTTGTGAAAATAGTGGACAGATGTACAGCTATAGGCAAGCTGTCTGCAAATCTGGGATGATCTTTTATCGTAGCACAATTTCTTTATACCAAGACTTCTGAATCTGTGAAGAAAGGTTTGGGCTGTAAGGTGCAGTGGGAGAGCTGTCTGTGCTCACCTGAACAGAGTGGTATACCAGAGTAGCTGGAGATGTTTGTGAGGGAAAGGGAATGTGGCTGAAGAGTAGCAGAGATTTGGGAATCAAACTGTTCCCAACTCCTGCATACTTGTGACATGATCCTGAATTACGCCAGCCTCATTTTAACATGATATTAGTTATAGTACTTTCTATACTAGATACACTCCTGTTCCTCTGATTAGTCTGCTGGTTTAGGAAACAAGCTAGGATTGGGAAGAATAAACCAGAAAACAAACATGGTGCAGCAATTTTGACAGCTTATGTAAACACAGTATGGCTCTGCCTGGACTGGTTTGACAGCGTGGTTTCCTACAGTGGTCCAAAGATATTTGAAACTGTGCAGGCTGATGGCTTTCACTGAAGGAAGGAGTGCATGAAACAGTGCTTTAGTGACATCTTCCCAGGTAATAGCAACATAATCATGCTAATGGCAGGTAAGGCTGAGTAGACTGGCCAGCTCTAACTTTTTCAACAACTTCAGTAACTTGTGCGGAAAATTTTTGTATTGGACTTTTGTCAGCCAAGTAGCAGTACTGCCAACATTCTGTTGACTGTATTTAAGTGTCCTTGTCATGAAAGGCTCCAGGAAAAAACTGGTCATTGCATGTTAACTCTTTTTCAAAGAGATTATGCATCTGCAAATTTCTTGTTTGCCACAGCCTCACTTGCATAATTTTCTACCTTCCACTGTACTTCTTTTCCCTACTATCCCATCCACAGTGATGCAGGGCAAGGTTGAATCCTCATCTCTGTGTACCAGCGTGCAAAGAAAAGAAAGAGGCTGCAGTATATTGCTATCACACCTAAGGAAACTAGAATCTCTACATGAAATGGAGTTACTCCAGATGTATCCAGGTTGAAAGAAATTGCTATTTCTTTTCACCATACCATATTTCATGGTTGGTCAGTTTTATAAATGTTGGTGTCAGTATTCAGTGACAGCTGGCTCTGAAAACTGCTGCAGGAGAGCCTAGCAGCAGTGATGTTACACTGTGCTCCCTCCACTAGTTTCTGTTGCAGCTCTGGACGTATTTCATCTGTTTCGAATGCAAATGCCTGATCCTTTTTTAAGGCCTCCTGATCTCTTGATTTCAAGAATATAATATGACAGTTCACCAGTCATTGCATTATGTTTGTTTCCCTTTATTGTTTTAGATTGGCTGCCTTTTGGCTCCATTGGAGACACCAGTGATAGAAATGACAGCAAATAGGGATGCTTGACTTAAAGATACACCCTGCAGTTTAATGCTGTATATATTATATTGTCTTTTTTTCTCCTGTTTTGAGAATGTTCCAATTATTTCTCTGAATGGACACTATTCCAGAGTGTCTTATTTTTGTATCTGTGTGCCTTGAAATGAGTAACCAAATGGCTCAAAGTTCTTGTGTAAAGAAACTCCCTCACCATGAGCCCAGTTTTACTTGTGTTAAGACCTGCTGATAAGCCAGTAGCATGGCCTCTGTGGGGAGTCGGAGTGGCTAGTCTGACTTGCAGGAGCGTGTCTGAGGGAATTATTGCCCAACCTTCCTTTTAACAAGAGGGGGGCTCTTCAATGTTGAATTCCTAAGCTGCTTTGATGGGATTTGAGGGACGTTTTCAGTGTTGAGATTTCTGACTGATTAACCCGTGGCTATAGTGACCCAGATGGTTGGGGTCAGAGCTGAAAAGCAGCTCCACCTCCTGCCCCCCTTGCTATGCTCTCACCCCTCAGGGTAGCGGGCTGGGGTCAGCTGTCAACTAGGCTGGCCTGATAGTGCATCTTTTATCATTGCTGGTCTGCTCTGCTGCGCCAAATTTCCGAGCTTTCCTGGGGGTTGAGCTTTTACAGAACAATTTCTTGGTATTTAGCTCCAGAGAAAGTTCTTTCTGCTGTGGTTTGCAGAGTTTGTCCCAGCTGTTGCAGCATCCTTTGGGTGTAGAAATGGAAGTACTCTTGTTGGAGCAATGTGTGCTTCTGCACTGTACTGTGCTGCCTCAGGGGCCTTCTGGATACAAGCAGTTGCAGGACTAGTTCAATAAAAATCTTGTAACCAGCAGCTTCTTTCTCTGATCAGTTGCCTGCTTGAGGGGGTGATCACTTCTCGTTAACTGGAGGGAATTTTTTACATTTGACCTGGTAGTTCTTAAAAACAAACAAACAAACCCAAAGCTAGCACAGGTGAAAATGAATTTTTGAAATGAAAAAGCAAGGAAGAACTACAACTTATGCAGCAGTTAGTCACCTCTGTTGAAGAATATCACACAAAAGTAAAACTGGCAGCAGGAGGGCTCCAGCACTCATGGTCTTAAATCACTATGGATCTGATTTGACCGTTTATTATCTTTAATCCTAGTGGTCTACCAGGAAGGAGGGAAAATAATTACTAATGACAGATTTTTAGTTAAAGTTAATTTATTGGTGGTGGAACTAATTGTGTGGTCCAGGTGTTCATCAGTTTATCAAGACAATATTTAACTGTCAAATGTTCTAATTACAATGTGGTTAATTAAACATGATTAAACTGTTGGGTTTACAGATATACAACTAATTATACATAATTACACTTCTAGTGGGCTTATCGTATGCATCATGCAAGATGTATGTAATTTTTAATAGTTGCTTTTTGTAAGATACTACTGTATCTTTATATGTTAATATATAGGTTTTGACGATTTGCTGTGTTTTTAAGCTAGAAATATACTGTGAAAAAGTGTGAGATACTGAATTAACAGATCAGTTAACAACCATAAAAATGGTGGGAGGTGGAAAGGAGGGGGACCTGCTCAGAATTTGCAACTTGAACGCATAAGTATTGTATGAATTAATAAAAGCTGGTATTTCTTTACTATTTAAATACTCCTGCTATTAAAGCAGAAACAAAGTCTTTTGATACAATAAGATCAGTGTTCACTGGGTTCTCCAGGTTGCTGGTTAGCACCTGCTTCAGAGAGATTTGATGAGAGAATTGGGGTGTTTACTGGTAGACTGAAAGTCTTTGAGATGGGTTTCTGGGGCTCTCCTGGGACTCTGTGGTGGGTTTGCTGGAGACGGGAGATGGCCCCCAATGTAATAAGGACATGGAGCTGTTAGAGTCAGTCCAGAGAAGGGCCACAGAGATGACCAGAGGGCTGGAACACCTCTCCTATGAAGACAGGTTGAGAGAGCTTGGGTTGTTCAGCCTGGAGGAAAGAAGGCTCCAGGGAGATCTTAGAACAGCCTTCCAATGCCCAAAGGGACCTACAATAAATCTGGAGAGGGACCCTTTTATGTAGTGACAGGACAAAGGGGAACGGCTTTAAACTGAAAGAAGGTAGATTTAGATTAGGTATTAGGAAGTAATTCCCTACTGTGATGGTGGTGAGGCGCTGGCGCAGGCTGCCCCGAGAAGCTGTGGCTGCCCATCCCTGGCAGTGTTCAAGGCCAGATTGGACAGGGCTTTGAGCAACCTGGTCAAGTGGAAGGTGTCTCTGCCTGTGGCAGGGGGTTTGAACTGGGTGAGCTTTAAGATCCCTGCCAACCCAAACGACAACGTGAAGTGTGTGTGAAGCACGCAGCACGGATTGTTATCAGCCAGACTCGTGGGCAGGGCTTGTGGAGGTATCACAGTATCACAATATGCTAGAGATTGGAAGGGACCTCAGAAGATCATCTAGTCCAATCCCCCTGCCGGAGCAGGAACACCTAGATAATGTTACACAGGAATGTGTCCAGGCGGGTTTTGAATGTCTCCAGGGAAGGAGACTCCACAACCTCCCTGGGCAGCCTGTTCCAGTGTTCCGTCACCCTCACTGAGAAGAAGTTTCTTCTCAAGTTTAAGTGGAACCTCTTGTGTTCCAGTTTGTACCCATTACCCCTTGTCCTATCATTGTTTGCCACTGAGTAGAGCCTGGCTCCATCCTCGTGACACTCCCCCTTTATATATTTATAGACACTAATAAGGTCACCCCTCGGTCTCCTCCAAACTATAGAGACCCAGCTCCCTCAGTCTTTCCTCATAAGGGAGATGCTCCACTCCCTTAATCATCTTCGTTGCCCTGCGCTGGACTCTCTCCAGCAGGTCCCTGTCCTTCTTGAACTGATCTCATCCTGCTGATGAGATCTCACCTGGATCAGTGCACGCACCAATGTCGTACTTAAAGGCAGCTCTAAACCGAACCGAATCTCCGAATTCAGTAACTGCGGTGTGTGGATTTCAGCACGTCTCGAAACTCCCCTCAGCCCGCTGGCTCGTGCCTGCTCCCCCAGACTGGCCCATGCAAGCGGAGCATGAGGGGCCGTGCCCGGGGGGCCGCCTGCCCGCAAGATGGTACTGCGGGGCACGAGTCGGAGCAGCCTCAGAGCAGACGTGCGGCGAGGATAAGGGCGGTTAATGAAGCCTTCTGTCACGGCGGTGGCCTCCCACTGCTCTCCCTTGCTAAAGTGTTCTGCGCTTCCTTGTCCCAGGATAGTATAGACGCTTGTGCCGTCTTCAAATTTAAAAGGTTACGACGTGGATTAAGTCTTTGATGCTTGGGGTTTGGTTTTGCTGTCAATTATTGTCCTTTCTATTAGTGCCTCATAGCTTTGTCATGTACGAGGTCTCTGTAGTAGTCTTTCATTTTGGGTTTAATTCCTGTCCTGATGGACACATGTCCCACTTATTATGAGGAGTGCTTTCGTTAGGAAAGCTGTGCACTATGCTTGTAATGGAGGTTATTTTAATCTTTAGTTGTTATTAAAACTCTGTTTAATTTAAACCATGGAGAAAAGGGCACCAAGGAAAATGGGTGTTAGTGCGTGAAGGGGTTGCGATGGCTTAACACAGATGTGAAGCACTTGCCTCTCCTGGGGCATTGGCTGTGTCCCTGGGACAGGGGGGAGCCATGGAGGCTGGTGTGAGCATACCTGGGCTGTGAGCTGGCATCTCGTCCACAAGCACCAGTGCTCACCTTTGTTTAGGACTTAGTCTAACAACAGGTGAAGTCAGTTTTGCAGGATTTCCCATACCATTACCTATATAATAAATACAGTGGTCTTATTTCTGTGTTCTAGAATAGAAAGCATTCAGGCAGTCTGTAGATGAGTATTATGGAGACAGCTGCTTCAAGGTTGCTTTCTAATTTGGCGTTACCAGGTGGTTTCCATATTGGAGAAAGGAAATATTTCCTGCTTAAACATCTTTCTTTCCAGTCATAATGTACCCACTGTTGACCATCCATTACATCCTAATAAATTTGCTTACCACTGTCTGCTTAAGATTTGCAGAGCACAGAGTTTTTTGGTAAAGTTTGAGTTCATTATTGCATGAACACTGAGTGTTCATGGGAATGTAGTGCTTGCTTTTCAGTGCATGTGTTTTGCATGTGTCACTGGTACCCAGATGAATATACTGGAGTATGCTGAGTCCTTCTTCTCTTTGCACATGATTTCACAGCCATGCAATTGCAAATCCACAGTGGTGTCAGGCAACAACTGGAAATCCACAGGAATATTAAGTGACTCAAGAAATCATGTCCTTTCCTCCATAGACACCAGTGAGTTAGCCTAATCATTAGTAATAAAATCAAATGAATGTCAATAAACACTTCTAAGTAACTGGGTGCTTTTTAATTTCAAGTCTTGTTCTCTCTTTTTGTGTGCATGAGTATATACCAAAAAGTAAGAACAGTTCCTTCTCTAACTGGAATTTATCTCTGTGCAGACATCTAGCACCAGCAGGATATACTGTAAATACTAAAACTGCAATGGATTTATAACTGTTCTGGGTTTTCCTAAGCCAGGAGAGCACTGTGTGAAATGAACTTGCTTTAATTTTCATGTCCTGTATTGAAATGGAATTTTGTATTGAATTTTCCTGTCTTGCTCATGACAATCATCTGGGCTGTCAAACATAGCACTGAGGACCAGTGTGGCTGTGCCAGGTGAGTGTCCACCTTGGCAGGACCCTCTCATTTGAGGTAAAAAGACCTTTCCTCCCATGTTGCAGGTAATACAGAGATGGCCTTTGGGTGGAGCAGCTTTGCTCTTGCCCCCAGGCCTTGTTGGGCTCATGTCCGTTTCCCTTCCAGTTGCTAGAAAAATAATTTTTGTTTAAATGACTTATTCCAGGGGCATTTAGTTGTTCAAAGAAACTGATGATGTATGTGGAAATGGCTGGGAGATCAAAGTGTCAGGATGGTTACTGTGCCAGCCCTGAATCAGTACTGTTATGGGAGGAAATGGAAAAACTGGGAGAGGATGGTTAGTGCTCCCCTTGCACCTCTATATCATTGTTGACAAAAAACCTTAAACAAAAACCAAAAGCCAAACCAGCCCTGGGGACAGCCATATACTCAGATTTCCCTGCAGCCTCTTCCCAAACGTCTGTCTCTTCAGGCTGGCAAGCCACCCTGTGATGAGCTCTGCTTAGTGCCAGCAGGCTTTGTCAGCCTGGATGCAGGACTAATGTTTGGGTAGCTGCCTGTGACACCTGCAGGATCTGCACTGATGCCCATAGGAGTGCACTGTGCACGAAGCACAGGGACTTCTCTGGTGCCTGCTGATGTGCTCCTGAATCAATACCTTGTTCATCAGGGCTCCTGGTAGCCCCATGTGTGTTGCTATGCCATGAAGGTCTGGAAGTGGCATTAAAAAGTTTAATCTTTTATTATTATTATTAATTTTATCTTTTTATGAGCAACAAATTACAATGAAATAAAAGAGGATGAAAATAAAATTTTATACTGTCCCTTTTAGGCAGTTCTATACTTGTCTCTGACAAGAAGACTAAAAGAGCAAAATAAATATTGATTAAGCGTCTGGTCTTTACTTAAGTGCTCTTGAAAGTTAATCAATACACTTGTGCCCTAAACATTGTTAGCTTTTCAGTTCAGAGGGGCTGGGGGAAAATTCACCTGGCTTTTCTGGCTTTAAGAGGATGGCAGAGCTGGAAGCAAACTATAATGAGCTTGTCTGCCTATGCCTTGATGAGATTAAGATAGGATGGTGTACTGTCCCTCATATCATGTTTTCTGTATATTTAATTGCCATTGCAGCTTGTGAACAGCCCATTACCTCTTTGTGTTGGTGTATTTGTGCTTCAGGAGGCTAATGCTGAGTGGTGATAGTCTCTTCATCTTGTATTTGTTATATAAAAAATCAAGGTAATTCGAGTTTGGGGAAAAACAACAACAAAAAGGCAGAAAGGTGGGTTTTCTCTTTGTGCCTATATAAGGGTCTGTATACTTCATAGGCTTTGTTGAAGAGCATTAAAATGCATAGACTTTTAATGGAACTGCAAGGGAAAACAGAATGAATCCCTTAATCTAACTGTAACTTTGTTCTCAAAAAATGAAAAGGGATGTAAATATCCTTTGGACCTCCAGACCACCCCTGGTGCTGTAGCCCACCTCTGACCACATCAGAGCAGCACTAGGCAAGGAGAAGAAAAGTGGCCACTTGGCTTTGGGGCAGCTGTGTAAAAATTTGGCTAGCTTTGAGAAAGAGCATGATGGTTTCGGCTTCTCTGTCAATAACATGGATGAGGGCTCCATCACTGGTGGGCTGTCAGTCTGTATGTCAGCCATGACCTTTACATTACCACACTGAGATGTTTTCATTTAGGTAATTTATTAGCTGTTGGTATCAGCAATATGAAAATTCTCCATTTATGTTAATATGCATATATTGGTGTATATTTTCATTTGGAAGGTTTTTCTGTGCTACAAATGCCACAGACAAACATGCTACCCCAGACAGCCACATTTTTCTGCATGAATTTTTAAAATCCATCCAGTGAGACTGTTTATCCGGTCTGGAATAAATCACCTGGTCTAGGTAGAGGGTACCTTCCTGTCTGGTTTCTGATTCCCCTGGGCTGCTGGCCCTG